CGGGGACCCTCGAGGATCGATGCGGCTCGACACATGCAGCAGAGAGATGGGGCCCAGGGCTTCTGGCGTGCTCTCTTGCGATCGGCGGCGAGCCCATGGGGCATGTGAGAGGGGCAGGACCTCTCGGAGGGCTCGGAAGCCCCCCAGCCTCCCGAGAAGTCTTCCCGGCCCTGCCCGCCAGAGGGCCGGAGGCCTCCTGATGAGCCCCGCCGCCTTCTTTTGAGAAGGCCTTCTCCCCTCCCTTGCCGCCGATACGAGTGTCGGGCCGAACGAAGGGGGGGATAGGTCGGCGGCTGCAGTCGGAGCAGTTACGCCAGGGTGCGGTTTGCGAGTTGCTTTGTGGCGGCCTTTCCGGGGCCTTTGTGAGAGACAATGTCACAGCTGTCGTCGCATCGAGCGACACTGTCATCCTCGATGTGTGCTCCACTGTGCTAGAAGGAACGACAGTGTCATGTGATTCGGTCGCATTGAGTGACAGTGTCACCCGTTTCCCGGGGGCGGGAGGGGCAAATATGACGGGAGGCAAACAGCACCCTTCGCAAACCGCACCCACTGTAGTCGCCGAATAGGGAACGGGGGGGTGACGAAATCTGCTGCATGCAGCTGGTTTCGGCCCCGCCGCCGGGCCCATTCCTCGATGCATGGGCGCCTCCCGGCGCCGGGAGGCAATGGGAAAATCAGGCACGTTTGCTGATTCTCTGCCCTACCCGTTGCCATCCCCCCCTTTCGTTCCCCCCGAGAGTGATGTCGGAGCTCCGGGATGGTGCCTCGGCCCCAGCAGAGCCCCCCCCTCCTGGCCTGGTGGAGCGGGCCCTGGGATACCGGGGGGGGGGGGGGAGCCGCCGGCCAGCGGAGCCGAAGCCGTGCCAGGCTCCAGGCCGCCCACGCCCGGCCAGAGTCGGAGGCCTGTGGAGGTTGACACCGACACCAATATCGGCGGTGTGCCTCCGGCAGACAGACAGGAACCGTGCCTGGACGGCACATCGGTTGCAGATCGAGTGTATGTGCATTCGCCCTCCAGCTCCATATGGGATTATGTTTAAACCTGCTCGGTCATGCCCGACCCCGCCAGGAGGCCCACAAGGTGGACGACCCGGAGGAGCAGCGGCAGCAGGGGGCAGAGGAGTGAACGACACCTGGAACCAGGACGAACCCAGAGCGGGGGGAGCCGGGGGAAAATGATCCCGATCTCGGTAATGTTGGTAATATTCGGGCTTCCTAGGCGGCCGAAGGACTACCACCAACTTCGATGATCGAGGATCTTCGTCCCCCAGTGGAGGCAAGCCCCCTGTGTTGGTGCTGGTGCCTATTCAAGCCTCCCAACAGAGCAGCTGGGGCCGGAGAGCTGTGAGAGGCATTCGCCGGCGCCGAGACCCGTGGACCCCTCAGGGCACACAGCCGCGCGCGCGCGGCTCGTATACTCGGCGTCCCTTCCCTGCCGGCCAGGGCTGGGGCGCCGAGCACGGTGGTCGCGGCGGGGGCGGTATCCTCTGGCACGGCGGTCGAGGGCGGTACGGTCTCGTCCGGTGCGATGGTCTCGGCTGGTGGGCGCGGTGTAGGGACCGGTTGGCCAGTACCCGGCACGGTAGTGGCCAACACCCAGAGATCTGATGTCGTGTTTTTGTCAATGCGGGGTCCCCGGAAGCCTCGACCCATTGCTCAGGACCGATTTTTCATCCTGAGTAGTTTTTTGACGGTCTCGGGGCCCGGCGAGGGCCCCTTGAGGCCGAACATTGAGAACAACTTCCGCCTCGAATTATTCTATGCGTTGGATCTTTGGGTCTGCTTCCCTTGCCGCGGGGGTGGGGGTCTGGCCAGACGGCGACGCTCACGGGCCTTTCCTGGGGCGCGGCGCTCTGGCAAGAGCTGCCGGGCGGACCCCGGAGCCGTGGCGGCGCGGGGGGGGGCGCCGCTGGGCGGGGGCGGGGGCGCAGAGGTGGCCCGAGCCCGCAGAGGAGCACGCGGCCAGGACGCCGAAGCAGGGGCTGCTCTGGGCTCGGGAGTTGCCCCGCTCCCTGGGATCCTGGCGTCGCATTTTGTTGTTGTTGTTGTTGTTGTTGTTGTTGTTGTTGTTGTTGTTGTTGTTGTTGTTGTTGTTGTTGTTGTTGTTGTTGTTGTTATTTCTATTTCTCTCCACCGGCCGATGGTGCCTTGCTCCGGGCCCCGGGAACCCCACGGAGGGACCCGACTCGAGAGACGCCGCAGAAGCTGGGGTCCAGGGCCGCGGCCGAGATTTTTATTCCCGTTTTCCTTTTGTAGAATGCGATGCTGCAGTTTCTCGAGACTTCGGGTCGGGCCGTTCCTGAGATCTGATATCCGTGCCGTGGCCCAGCGACCCGTGGCCAGAAGAGCCCTCCCGCCCCATCACTGCGGCAGCACGATGGCTGCAGATCCCTTCGTTCCTCGATCCTCTCGATGACCCTCAGGGCGTGTGTCAGCCCAGTGTGGGCTTCACCCCCTTTAGCCCAACCAGTAGATCATCACATCGCCTGCGTCGTATCGAAGGGCCTCGATGGACAAGCACACGTTGGGGCTGACACACATTCTCAGGATCATCGATCCTCGCGACCGCCCCACTGCGATCCTCTCGATCCCCGCGACCCTCGGTCCTCGAGAGCCTCCGAGAGCCTCGAGATCCTCGAAATCCTCGAGCGCGTTGAGGTCCTCGAGATCCTCGACCCCCGCGATCCCCCCGCGTTGGGTCAACGGGGGCTTGCCTTAAGTCGGGCATAGCCCTCTACAGGAGGAACATTCAAGAATTGTAAAACAATATAGCCTCTGGAATATTAGTCCATGCTTTTTTGGGGGCTACTTTTGAGCATTTTTCTAAACTATTCCTAATTTTCTTCCAACATCTCCTTTACGAGGACTTGCCCGACCTAAGCATACTGCCTCCGCCGCCAGCGGCCCTCGCCTCCCCCCGACCAGTTCGCCTCCGCGCTGCTCTTCTGGGGGCCGGGGAGACCGCTGCGCCGCCCTTTGCAGTCGCGCGCCTCCTGCGAGGGCGGGTGCACGGGATGGGCTGACTGAGCCCGAAGGGTCCAGTACATATGCGGCCTCAGTTTTGAGGGCCCTCCGTTTGGGTAAACATCCCTGGCTCTCTGGCGTTTTTTGCGAAGTGTTCGACCCCTTGGCAGAAGCGAATGGATCTGACACGGGTGCTTAAACTGAGCCTGCATTGCCGTCTCAGGTTCGCAAGTCGCTTCACGAAGGGAGATCGAGCGCCAGGAGAGTTATCTTCAGGAAGTTCAGACTACCCAGCAACGACGGGGACCTGTCTGGCCTTCATCTTCAATCTGAGTCGAGGCTTGGGTTCAGGGCGCCTGTCAAAACAAATGTCGTTCAAGCCCAGGACTTCTGTTGAGGGTCGGGGACGACGTCGGGGTGGTGTGGCGTATACTTGTTTCCCCGTTTTCCCGGGAAGCCACGACACATGTGTACACGAGAATCCCGCATACACCAGGATCTGCTTTCCTGTGCGAATTTCGTTGCGGGGCCAGAAAAAGCGTCAATGTAGAGAGTTCGGCTTCTTACTTGTATACCCAACGAATGCCGTCTTTAGAGAGAGTGTGAGCGTCGGTTCGTGTATTATAACCGATGATATCGTGCCGGTTTAGCGCCCAGTAGCGCCCAGTAGCGTCGATGCAGCGTCGATGAGCGTCGACTGGCATCGATGTAGCGTCGACTCGATTCGATTAGCGTCGATGAGCAAGAGCCAACAAAGGTGGCATCCGGAAACCGAACATGCTTTCCACTTGGCAGCCCACGTCTTGCTTCTGCGTCGATCTCGGCGTCTGGTCCCCGAGGGCTTGGCGACTTTTTGCCAATTGACTTGCGCGGATGAGGCCAAACATGCCGAGGTAAATCAGGAGGAGAAAAAACATACAGACACAAATAATCGTCGACTCCCAGGAAAATATAGGAAAATATGGGAAGTGGGGGGGAAGACAGAAACCCCCAAAATATGGGAAAGTATCGGGAATCCTGGGATTTGTGTGTATTTATTTGTGTGTCCTTGGGCCCCTTGAGTAAATTCAGACCAAGCCAGGTATATCCAAACAAAGTAGCGTAAATCCACAGA